TGGGAGCACTATTCCAACCACCTGTCGGACAATAAATCTGGAAACAGATCAAATGAAAGCTTTATTGTTTTTTAAAAGCGAGGGAAGGTTAAAATTGAGGAAGAAGATTGAAAAATTGACGTACGAAGGCATACTGAACTACAGTAAGAGTTTCTGAAAAGATGATGCCAGATACGGAACCAATATAGTGTTAGAGCTGCAACCTACCTTTTAAAGTAAATATCTTATAACAAAAGTATTTATGCACTATGTTTTGAAGAACTGAAAATAGAAACAAACTATTAACCTTGTGTGTAAGCCTGGGTTGATTAGAGAAACAAATACAGAGACACTCATATGCGTTTGAGAAAGGGCTTTATGTAAAAAGGCAATTGAATATTGAGGAAACATCTGAGCCCAGTCCAGATCAAAGCCATAAGTCCATTATCAGCCCATATGTCTGATATCAATCTATAAACTCCGCTTCACACTCATGCAACACATCGCAATGATGCCAAATGCAGGACGATCACATACCTGTGGGTGGATAGTCTTGTGGATCCAGTGGCAGTGGAAGCATTCAGCACTGGTGTGGGTCTCTCCATGTGGTTCCTCCAGCTCTAGGGTTCTGGCTCCATCAGTGTAGCTCCATGTGTCTCATCCACTGGACTGTGTAGCAGAGAGAGGGTGTGCCAAGCCTCCGGAAGACAGGAGTTCCCAGAATCCTCAGGAGAAGGTCAGGCCCACACAGAGGCATGATTGGCTATGGCCTGACAGACAAGCTAGACTCCACCCCTGTAACCTATTGAACACGTTGACATGAAATCATGTAACTGCCACACCTTGGCACCAAAGAATTGCCAGGGTGAAAAAAACATTGTGAGCATAAATGTAGAACTTAGAAATGTATAATCAGAGTCAATTCTATGGCCCTGAGCTACATTGGATTTGTCTCTAGGTTACAAACAAAATAACATATATTCTAACCAAGTAAATGTGCCCAAGGAATGTAAACATGGCTTAATAAAAATAAGTACTGTTATATCGAGGCACTATTTTCTGTTCTGCTATACAAAGGCCACTATGTTTTAGAAACATCTCAAAGACACTTAACAACAAGAATTGATCATATTAACAAACTAAAAGAGGGGTGAGTGTGTGGGGGCAGTGACCAGCTCAACATATGCATTAAAAAAGATAGAAGCCTGACTGGATTGCTGAAGACAAAGCAGGTACATAAGCAAATGTGGTGAAGAAAGCAGATGGTGCCTGGCTATCAAAGATATCTGGGGTCTTAATGGCTTGAAGGTAAACAAGCAGCCATCTAGCTGAGAAGCAACAAAGCCCACATGGAAGAAGCACACAGCCTGTGTGATCATGAGGTTTCAATGGGATAAGGTATCATGTATCTAAAACCCAGAACAAAATCATACCAATTTGAATTGGGGGTGGGGAAGTGGGAGTTGAGATCCAAAGCCCATCTATAGACATTTGGACATTCCCTCACAGAAGGGTCACAAGGAAGAGATGGCCCAGTCAGGGTGCTGTATAGCATTGACGAAACACAGAACTTTCCTCCAGATCTTTAATGCTTCCTGCCCCCACCCCCCACGATCATGACCTCAATTTTACTTTACAAATCAGATTAGACCAGAATATGCACACTGCTACAGATAAGAGCTAGAGAAACAGGGAATCCAGGATAGAAACCCCCCTCAGGACCAACACTGAGAATAGAGATACCAGGAGGATAAGGGGAACAGGGGGGGAGGAGAAGTGGACCATAAGGATCAACATAACGCCCTCCCAGGGGGATGAACAACAGAAAAGTGAGTAAAGGGTGACAGAGGATGAAAGATATGAAAACAAAAATCTATAACTTATCAAGGGTTCATGAAAGAGGGAGAGGGTTACAAATGAGGAACTAATACCAAGGGCTCAAGTAGAAAGAAAATGCTTTGGAAATGATGATGGCAACAAATGTACAGATGTGCTTGACACATTGGATGAATGTATGGATCGTGATAAGAGATGTGAGAGCCCCGAATATAAGTATTTCATTAAAAAAAGAAAGTAAAAATTAAAAAAAAAAATACAGAGGAGGAGCTTTTTTTAAAAAAAAAAAACTGATTATGTTTGACAAAATCTTCACAGCACACATACACAGAATAGTATTTAAATGCATTACAGGCATCTTGATTAAAGTTCAGGCAGGGATTCCCAGTACTATTCAAATGCTAATGGATGTACTGATTGACAGATAAGGAGACTGGAGAGGAAAGTGATTATTGATTAGCAGACTTTACTGAGGGACACAACCTAGGAGTTTTTACACTAGACGGGAGAGCACAGATCCAGAATAGGCAGAGGCAGGATGATAAAATAACTGAAAGTGAGAACAAG